AGGTCCAGCTGGATGGGACGATGTCCTGGTAGCGAAGGAGGGGATGAGACAGTGCATGGCTCCTTTTCTTGGTGATTTTTGTATCTCTGATCAGATGTGCTTTGGTGGAGGAAATCACACTGAAAAGGACCACAGAGCTTTCTGTTTTAACTCCCTAACTTGAGCCTGGATCATACAAAGCAAACCCTCCGAGCCTGTGAAGGGGGTTTTGTGGAGGAATAAAGCTCATTGTCAGCTGCCCGTGTTCAGACCCTTGGGAAATTGTGACCATTGTCTGGGCTATTATTGCTTAATAAAAGCTTTGCATTTCCTCATTCAGGGCCTTGAAAATCTGGTTCTGTGCTTTTAAAAATAACTCAGTGTGAGCCACAATTGGGAGCATTCACAGAGGAAATTCTTCAGCCATTTAAAACAAAGTGAAGGGAGGGAAAAGAAAGCTCTTCTTAAAGTGCTTTTACTTATCCCTGAAGAGTGAGTGTGTCCCAGCTGAGCTTCTGCTGTCTGGATGGAGCACAGGGGCTCTGCTCCTGCTCCTGTTTGCTTCCAGCCTTCCAGGAGTTTGGCTCCAGGGCTATCCCAGCTGGGGGACCTGGGCTGGGCATGCCAGATGCATCCTCTTGGGATGCTGTGTTTCTTGTGGATGAGCACATCTGGACAGGTGGGACCAGCAGTCACTGTGTGCAGTTGATGCTCTTTGTGCTTGATGCAAAAAAAAGGCAAGAAAATGTTTTTCTTTCTGTTTGTACCAGAGGCCACACTAGAAAAGGGTCATTTCAGGCAAAATGAAATGTGGTCATGTGCTGAAGGATGTGCAGGATTTCAGGCTCTGTGGGAAAGGGGGCAGAGGAGGGGGTGCTGTGGGCTCTGAGGTGTTCACTATCCCAAAGTTGGCTTCCCTGGAGTTTTTACTCTCCTGATTTGTGCTGGGAAATTATAGCCCAGCACAAAAGCCCTGAACTATTTTGCAGATCTGCTTTGAAGGCTTGTTTCTTTCCCTCTGTGTGTTCTTGGGTTTATTTTCCTTCTGGTGTGGAAATAATTATATTGCTTGTTTCTTATGTTCTGGCTCCGACTAAGAAGAGGAATGCACTCAGGTTTTTTTATGTTGTGGTGGTGGTGATTTTTTTTTTTTTTCTTTTCCCGATGCAATTTCTGCTGTTAAAATAATGTGGACAGCAGTTGCTGCCCACGTAGAGCACAGAAATGTGTGTTTGGTGGTTTTGAGACATGCTTGCTCTGGGTGTGCCTCGTTGTTTTGTTCAGTGCCAGTCTCTGCCCCTATGATTGGCCATCGTTTATCATTGCCATCAAGCTCAGAGATATCATTTACATTAGTAATTAGTGCTTTGTGCAGGCCAGAATTAGCTACACTGCCTCTTGATTTGGAAATAGGTTTTCTCTTGGAGCTGTGTGTTTTGTCAGGTTAGAGACCAGAGTGTGAGGAGGGGATGACAATGGGCTACAGCAGCGTTGCCAAAGACACTTGATAGCAAAGAAACCGATGGCTGGGATATTGTCTGGGTCTTACTTGTGGTAGGAAATGAATTATAGCAGAAAATGCCCCTTCCATGCCTCAGTTTCTCCACCAAGAAATGAATTCTGGATGATTTGCCTGAGTGTGTTTGTTAGCAGGAATTACTCTCCTCCCTCTTCCTGTCTCCTGGAGCAGCTGTGATACGCTCAGGGATGTGTGGTGATGCAAGGACTGGGCACAAGACACAGCCCTGCAGTAGCTGAATTCTGTCACACCATTGTCTACTTTTGTGTGGCTTGAAATTTTATAGCTCATGTGCACCATTAAAACAATTTCCATGCCTAAGTTTGGAGAATCTGCTGTGCCCACTTTTGTTTATATCCACGTGACTGATCCAGGGCCATATGTTAAGAATATAACTGCTTTTAATTAATTTATTTTTTTTTTAAAGCTATCGGTGTCTAAATATATCTAATAAAAATGCAGACTGGAGCTCTTTAATGAGGCGTAAGTCAATCCTGGCTCTCTTTTTTTATAAGACAAAACCACCTCACACACTGGCTTCTTTTTGTATGGACTTCTGCTTTGCATTTCTACACATTCATCATAGCATGAAGCCCCTGACAAAAGGAAATAAGAAAAGACTTTAAGAGACCGTTTTGCTGTGCATAAACCTGAACCTTTGCAAAGGGAAAACCCCTGGGCCTTCAGCAAGTGAAGTCATGGGCTGCGTATGAGGCTGTGTGGTGACAGAAAGGAGAAATAAAAATTACAGTGCTGAGTAAGTTGAGTGTAGTTGTGAATTGCACAGCAAAGAACAGCAACTGTTAGAACGGGAAATATTTCCAGTTTTGTTCCTTGCCTTTGCAAAATTGCAAAGTTCAAGTGATGGTTGGATGCTTTTTGCCACCAAAGATCTTCATTTTGCTGGCACCCAGCTAAGCCAGTGGTCGAGGCCGTGAGCGGCAGCATTTGGGTGGAGGCTGGGGATGTGTGGCTGCCTCTGTTTTTGGGGGGCTTTGGGAGGAAATGGCTTTGCTGCAGGGACAGTTCAGCTCTGCAGGCTTGTGAAGATCCTCTGGCTGTGGTTTGACAGCTGAAGTCAGAGCATGGCTGTGAAATCAGACTCTGCTCACACGTGGTTGTGGCTGGGTGTGAAATCCTGAGCGGTTCCGGCAGGGACGGCGCCGGGCCTCGCACAGCGGGTCTGGAGTGGGGGGAAAAAAGGAAATCTGCTTGTTTTGGAAGGGCCTCATCCTTTTCTCATTGCTCGTGGGTTGATCCTGCATGGTCGGTGTGGTGACAAGGCCCAAGTTGGGGTCCCAGTCTCCTTTTGCCAGAGAGGACCCAAAACTCTCCTCACCAGGTTTATGGAGGAAGGGAAGGAGGAGAAGGCAGTCTTAGCAACTCCAAGTGTGATCCAGGACTGAAAGGCAGAGGTTTTGAGCATAGAACAATAGATCTGTGAGACAGAATAGATGGAGAAGTTGATGAGTTTTCTGAAATGTTGGCCCATGAGAAAAGTTTCCGAGGGAAGGTAATCAGGGCTGTGGTTATTAATTTGATGACCTCTTTCCACAGGCAGTCAAACTTTCAGATTTAGCAAAGCTTTGCATTACAGGAGGTGCTTTGTTTACAGGCTGTACAGTCACTCGTAGACACAGCAGCACAATGATAAATTATTTAATTATAGATACCCAAAGAAGCGAACCAGGCGCCTGCTGGGTTGTGTTGTCCCTCTGGTTCCCCACTTTGCACAGTTCCTTGCTGGCTGATTCCCAAAATCCAGCCATTTGCAGCAGTGGACTCTCAGTTATTAACGTTAATTAGCGAGGTTCTGCTCTGTGAGTATTCCTGCAGCACACACAGAGCGCTCAGCTCCTCACCCGTGTAACGAGCGTGTACTCAGCCCCATTGTTAATTAGCAACATCCCTCCAAGGACTTGTGCTCCTCTTGGGAATGGAAGTTTGGTGTGGAGCTGCCTGTGGTAGTTAGAGCAAGTCCCTGCCAAGACTCAGGTGCAGACTCTGCCAGGGTTGGGTTGTCAGCTCTTTGCCCTTTGTTTTAAGCTCAGCTTCTCCTCTGTGCGTTCTCCTTGCTAAGAGCACGGTTGCTAAGATTAGTTCTTTTCAGGTTTGCCATTAGAACCTTGTTTTAATCAGCACTGACAAAGTCCTGGCTGGATCCGTGCTCCAGGTAGGGGTCGGATTTAAGCGTTCTTCAAAAAGCTTTTATGCTACAGGAACATGGTGCTCCTTGTGCTGACAACAGTTTTGTGTCTCTGCCTCTTAATAACCGTCCTGTAGTAACACCTTCTTCCTAGATTTGCAAAACAGCTCCATTCCAAGAAGAAATTCCCTCCTGAAAATGTGGAAGTGCAGTTTGTTCTTGGCAAATCCAGCTGGGGCTTTATTATCGCTCTGATTTTACATCCCTGCTGATGGAATGCTCCTGTTGTGAGGGAAGCATCTCCAAGAGGTGATTCTCTCTTCAGAAGAACATTCCCCTCCTTCTTTTTTATTTTTTTTTTTGTAACACTGAAGGCAATGGAAGGGGAGAAGCTGGTAAATAATATGACTATAAATGAGAACCAAATTATACTTTAAATTTTATGTACGTTCAGGATAGAAAAGCAGTGTGTGATCAGGAGGTCTTTCCAGAAGAAGGAGGGTTGTTTTTAAGTATCTCTGCTTTGTCCCTAGTTTTATGTGTTCAGTATCATCCGGAAAACTCTTGGTTTTGCGTTTGATTGTAATTTGCATTTAGATTGGCTGCCTGAAGGGAGTCTCTTGCAAGGAGAGATGGGGCTATGTGGCTCCAGTGTCTTGCAGATCTGGCTGAAAGCAATGGCATTTACATAAAAACCATTAGCTCTGTTATTGATAAACATGAAAGGCATCCATTTCATTTAATTTTTTGATGAAGAGCTTTTAATATAAGCACACAATAGCACTGAGGTAGTAACATTCCTGCCCCCTATCCCTCCGTACTGACCTCTTGTTTTAAGGGCAAGCTTTGATTGGGATTTTGTTGGTGGAGAGATGGGAAGTTATTTCTATTCCAATTTACTGGAGTAGCCAGTTGTCTTGGTACATTGTGGGGAATTATTTAATGCTCATTTTAAGAGGTGTCTCTGTTAATTGAACGGGGATTTAATGTCTCCCTGAAGCACAGTTGGTCTGTGTGTGATGTATACTAACATGTACGGCTGGCAATTCTATGGATAATCTTTTCCTTAATCAAAATGGGTTTAAGCAGAACTTCAGTGGCGCCTCATTAAGGGGATAAAGTGTGTTGAAACAACAAATGTATTAAAGGGAACTTCTTTGGTGCACTCCAGATCAGAGCCCATGTAACCCTTCAGCACCGTGTCTGCATAAACATTTGTTCCCCTGCGTGTGTAATGGTGCTTTGGGGATCAGGACATGTCACAAAGAGCTGTGATTCACCATCTCTGGAGTAACTGGCTTTGGGAAGCTGTTGCTGCTGCTCTCATGTATAAATACCTTGCTTTTCTCCTGGGCTGGATCAGGTCTGACCTCAACAGCCTCCAGAGGCAGCGGGTGCTGTCGTTGTTTTCAAACATCACAGCGTTTGCTTGAGAGACCTTGCTGAGAGCTTTGCAGGTGCTTTGAGTTCTTGACCTCAGAGCTGGGGAGGTGAGCATATCTGTTTTGCACTGATTACCTGGCCTATTTGTTGATTTAACATATTTTTTTAAAAAATTTTTGGTCACTTTATCTATATTTACAGCTCTTTTTCCTCCCTAACAGGCTCCAGACAGATGAGTAGAGAGCTGGTTGCAGAAGAGGGACAGATTCCAGTTTGCCAGCTGATCACCGTGTACAGTGAGTACCTTCATATTTCAGAAATAAAACTTTCTGTAGTGCCTGATGTCAGCCTCAAATTGCCTCCACTGGGGCACAGCATTAAGTCTGCATGCTTGGACAGTGTTTTCCTAAAAGTACAAGCTTCCTTGGCTTAGCTCTTGTTTGTGGGAGAAGTGTGCTCCAGCTCCTTTTATCTGAAGTGGTAAATTGTGTCCTCATCTCACTTCCAGTAGTGGCAGAGCAGAGAACTGCTGCAGTTCCATCTCAGGCTGTGGGGAATCAACACTAAAGTTCTGAAGGTGTCACCTGAGGCTTCCTGTGCTGCAGGGTCAGGAGTGGAAATGCTCTCCAGAGCTATTCCAGCCTTGTTGGAGGTGTTGGAACTGAGTGAGGAGGGACCTGCCACGGCGCATGCTGGGGTTGCTCATAAAGGATTGCTATGAAATCAGCCAAATGAGGCTTGGCTTGACTGGTGGGCGGAAAAAAGCAGGGAAAAAACCACTGGAGAGCGTTGTCCAGTTCATGGTAAGGGATGGCAGGTTTGCCCTGAAAGTGGAGGAGAAAATCTTTATTTCATGGGGAATTTTTACACATTAAAATTTCTTGCATGCGTGTTAATGGGCTGTAATAACGAGCCTGTGCTTTATGAGGTGTCTGCAAACATCTTAGAACTTGCTACTGTGAGGGAGGAAATACTGGAGCTAGTAAATACTGATTAATTGGAATGTCTTGGCCCATGTGGTGCGGTGGTGTGGCCAGATTGAAACAGGGAATTGCCTGAAACAGGTGTCTGAAAAGCAGGAGGATGCTCTAGTATGGGCTGTAAAATTCAGGTGAGTGTGGGAGCTGCAGCAGTTGAGTTTATTGTGACAGCCCTAGCAGGTGATTCCCTAAGGATAATGTGGGATGATGAAACTTGAAAGTGAAAGTGTTTGTTAACAAAAGTCAAGGATGAAATCATGCATTTAGAGACTGGGTTGTGTCACCACGTTGGTGTGGATATATCCAGGGAGCAAGGCAGAGAATTCCTGTGCTTCTGGGAAAGAAGGGAAAGAGAGGCAAACTTATTTGTGGCTTCCTCATTTCTCCCTATCTCTCCTCATCTCATTTCTTGTTGTACTTCTGGATCCAGGAAATCTTTGTGCCCTGCCAGACACAGCAGGGACTCCCCTCAGCTGGAACACAGCTCCTGTGAAAAATTCAGCAGTGAATAACAAAACTTGGGAGTAGCAGCGGGGTGACGTGAAGGACAAACGATGCCGGTATTGACCGAGGGTGCCAGCGTGCCAAGGTCCTCATCGACAGCTCTAATCCCAGTGTGTGCTCTGAGCCAGATCTGCTGACTTGAGGAGCTGGAATCAGTCAATACCATTGAATTCTCCTTCTCTTTGCATATCTTAAGGCGAAGGAAGTCTCAGGCTGACAGCTGTGCGGTCTGCACGAGGCCATGGGCTGCACAGGCTTCCCCCAGGACATCATTTGGCTTGTGCAACATTTATTACACTGCTGTGGTGTGCAGCAGGTTCAGCATTGACCTTCAGAAAGCCCTTCTGGGTTTGTGGGCCTGGTGGCTAGAGGAATGAATGTAGGAGACAAGGATTTCAGGTTTGGAGTCCTTTTTAGGGTGGAAGGCTGTGATTAAAGCAAGGAGCATGAATTTAGGTCAGTAGGAGACAGCTGAGGGAAGGGCTGTTCTTGGCAGGGAGCTGGAATAGAGGAGATGCTGGAAACAGTCTGTGATTGCCATGGAGCAGAATGGGAAAATAACCTGTTTCAAGGGACTCCTTAACAAGTAATTCTTATGCAAGACTCTCTCCATGGCACTAAATATCTAAATAACTGGGTTGGGCCTGGAGTTTAAAAATACTTTCAGGAGACTCATCTTCAAACACCTCCTGAGGCTTCCTGGCTTGGCAGCAAAGCCAAGTTCTGCAGGAGTTTTGTAGCATGATGGCTGCTGTGAGGATGTGGCACCATCCACGTGAACACGAGCGTGGGTCCGATGCTTCCTGTGCCTCACGTGGGGCTCGTGTGCTCTTTGCTCACTTGGGTATGGCAGGGAGGGTTTGTGCTGCCTGCACCTCCTGCAGTCCTCCTGAGGAGCACTGGGAAGTGAGGGGGTGCAATTCCTGCTTCTTGCTGCTCTTCCCCTCAGAAGATGCCAGAGACTTTTGTCTGCTTCTTAAAAACTCAGAACGTGGCAAACCTGAGCTGTGGCAGGCCATGACCAGTAGGAATGTCCTTCATCTCCCAGCAGTTTATTCAGCTCTTGGTTGAAGCCCTGTGTGCCTTCAGCCTCTGTCCTGGCATTTCAAAGTTTAACTTTGTGTGGTGAACCACTTCCTTTTGGTAACTGCACCTACTGCCAGCTCGTGTACTGTAATAAGCTCATGTTTGGGGAATTGTCATTGGCATAAAATGCTGTAAATTCCTCCTGTGTCCCCTAAAATGTCCTGATTGATTCAATGGTCCTTACAGAGGTGCTTCACATTTTTGACCATTTTCACTGTATTCACCATTTCCGATTTTTGGTCATTTTTTCTCCTCTTGAGTATTTTTACTAGAAGATTGAAGGAACCTTTGGGTTTCTGAGCTGCAGTTCTCTGTATGTTTAACCATAGAAAAGAAACCAGTAATTCTGATGTTCCGTGTATTAATAAGCTGTAGCCTTTTATTTTTTTTTTTTTCTAAAAAGCAGAGGGTTTTTTTTGTTAATCTAAAAACCCTATCAGAAAAGCTATGAATAAACCTGACAGCATTCCAGTTCACTGAGTCACTAGAACAATACATTGTTAACAAGGAGCCCTGGCAGAGCTGTGTGGCTTTGTGCTAAAGCTGTCAGCCAGGATATGGGATGTATCTTTGTATCCTGCAGCAGTTTTGTGAAACTAAAATGGTTGCTGGTGTCTACTGCATCTTCTGAATGAGGACAAGAAATACTCTGGGTGTTAAACTCTCCCTCTGCGTTGGTTAAGAAATGATATCAAAACACAGAATTGATCTTAGATAAACATAAATCGGAGTCATCAAACAGGTTCTGGTTCTGCAAGGGCAGGGCCTTGCTCTCCATCTCCTCTGCTTTGCATAAATGATATTTATTTTATTAGTGGCTCCCAAAAAGTAGGACTGGAATATGATGTGATTAAAGTGTTAACACCAAGGTTGCAGTCCCAGGGCTGCAGACTGACGTGCCTGGGGCTGACAGGTCTGTGGTTTTGTCTATCTGCCCTGACTCACATCTGTGGCTTTTGTGCTGCCCTAAGGTGAGTCAGGGCTCCCCCAGGGATGATTAAAGCCCTGCCCTGTGGGCAGCCTGGGAAATTTGGGCCTCTGTTCAGCTAAGAACTCTTGGATAATTTCCTCAGCGCTGAATCACAGCTCTGTGGACCATCCAGAGCAGTTTTCCCCAGTGTTGAGGTTTATCTTCCACGCCTCCACTACTTTTTCCACCACTGTGCTTTTCTTCTTTCCTCTGCTGCCTTCCCCAGTGCTTCCTTCCTGCCTTTAACCCCAAAGAGCTCCCAGGGTCTGTCTGTGCTCCACTGGTGCTTTCTGTTCTTCAAGGGAAGCCAAAGAACAAAGTCCTTGCAGCAGTTCTCTCCCAAAGCAGCCAATCTGCACAGCACAATCAGTTCATCGCACTGACTTGTCAATAAAACACCAAAAACTCCCCAAAACATCACCTGGCCTGTCAAGATGTGTCACCTGTGCCTCAACCAGTCCTGAACCCAGCTGGGGAGGGGACACCACGAGGAGGAGAGAGGGAGAAAAACACATCCAGGAGCTATAGGCTGATTTTCTGTCACTCCTCAGGGTGTCCCAGCCTCTGCTTGTTGGTGAAGGATGGAGGTTTTTTAATATTCCTTCCCTTCATATATACATATAAAATACATAAATTTATGTTTATGATCCTTTCTCATTCTTCTTTTACTCTTGTGTATGTGGAGTTGCACACAGGCAGCCTGGCAGCCCACAGCCAGCCTACTATAATAATTTCAGCTGTAGTTTAGTAAGGTAGTAAATTCAGAGTAATTTTTAATCTGCTTGGGAGAAAAACAGCTTAATTGGCTGTTTCTCCTGGTGGTTCCAGCATTATTTTTGTCCTTAGAGGGTGTAAATGCAGCAGACATTGATCTCCCTGAATGAGGGGTCAGCTCTTCCTGGACTGCACTGGAACACTGCGTCTATTTATTTATATTTTACCTTTTTTTAGTACATTGCCTGAATAATACAGCCAGTGTGGAAAGGGCCTGTAAAATGCTGAGTTGTGTGGTTGAATTTTGCTCTGCCCAAGTAAATCTCTTGTGATGAGAGACTCCACACAGGGGAAACCTGGATTAGCTTGGAGTGAGGGAATGTTTGGAGACCTCCCCGGGTTCCCTGCGGTGATCCAGCCACGCTGGGGAAATGGAAGTGGGAGAATCCAGCTCATGTCATCACCCAGGGGACTTTTCCATTTAATGCAGCCATTGAAGCTGGGACCAGAGGCTGTGTGGGACAATGTGTAACGGGGGAGCTGGAACAGGCTGCCTTTGTGGCACGTCACAAAGCCAGCACTATGTGCTGGAGTGCTCCTGCTTGCTGGGCCTGGAATGTCAGCCTGGGTTCTCTTCTCCTCCCTTCCCGCCAGGAGCTGCTCCAGACTTGGGGAGAATAAGTCACTGTTTGTGTGTTTATTTCTTTCCTGCTCACAGTTCTTCTTGGATCACACAGAGGGTTAGAGGGAAAGAGCTCAAGTGAGGTGAAAGCCATCAGGTTGCTGGGAGATCCTCCATGGTGTGTTAGTGCAGGGCTGCAATTCTCCAGGCCTCTTCTTGCTCCACAGAATTCCCTGACAGGAGGTTGTAGGGAGGTGCAGGTCAGGCCTTCTCCCAGGTAAGTGACAGGATAAAAGGAAACAGCCTCAAGTTGTGCCAGGGGAGGTTAAGTTTTAAAAATTTCTTAATGGAAAGGGTTGTCAAGCGTTGGAATGGGCTGCCCAGTGAAATCACCATCCCTGGAAGTGTTCAAAAAATGTG